CATCTGGTGCATCAATAAGTTTGGCAGGGAGCCACCTCGCCCACACAAGGTGTCAGACTTTGTGGCCTTCCTGCGTGCGGTCGGATTCCAGCCCTACGAGCGCCTCGGCATCCTCAAGGCCCGTGAAGCCAACGTGCAGCAGCAGAAGGAGGTCCGCAATGTCAAGCAAGGCTGACTGAGTGGGGGCTTCTTTTCAGAAAACGTGCGCCCTTAGAGTTCTCACTTTGAGGGCGTGTGAAAGCTGTGCTACCACCTCGGTGCAGTAAAGCTAGAGTGTGTGTACAGCTTTATCTGAAAGCTCCATCCTTTCGGGCCGCCCTTTTCTCTCAAGGGCCCTTGACAAAGATCTGTGTAGCCACAGGCGACGGACGCAAAAGGCCTCCTTTTGCGTGCTAACCTCTATAGGTTGTTCAAATACTCCATATCAACCCTCTTTTCATGAAGCCCAACAAGGTCGGGATATCCTTCCAATGCGCAATGCTTAAGTTCCTGTTAGGACGACCATTTTGGTGAGTATGTGGTGCAATCAAAATGTGGCTGTGCTGTATCGACCTCGACCGTGCTCCCCCATCTCACGCGGCCAATAGCCAATGTTCGTCTATTCTGTGGCCAGTGATTTTTGAGCGCGAACAGTTTGTTGTCTTGCACATGGAACCCCAATCAACCTAGCACCACGCCAGCTGCTACATCATGTGGCCCTCGAACCCCACCGAAAAGCCAGTAACCTTACGGAAATGTCTTCATCCGGAGTCCAAAAAGCTTGGCCTTCCCTCAAGGCATCTCCGTAAGAGACCGAGCCGTGAAGCGGATGGCCCAAGGGTCAGGCCGGTTTTATTGATGCACTTTCGGGTTTAAGGTACATTGCATATGGGTTATATTGCCAGTAATTACTTGATACCGCGCACCATAATCGAAATTGTGGTACTCTTCAGGATAGCTACAGGCCTTTTTAGGAAGGCTGAGTGTCTATCACAACAGGATTCATCATGCTGATGGCCATCGTATTGCTGTTCTAGCTGTCATCAACATGTCGTTCGGTTGTACAACCACAGCATCAGTTTGCAGCACCATCTTGTTCTGCAGCTGGAGGTAAGTCCTGCGACAACAACGACAGGCGGGCGACAACCCTGAACCCTAAGCTCCGGTAAATTTGCATTGATGATTGAGGTAGCCAGTCTGCATGTGATGATCGTACCCAGTGCTTGAGCAAGAAGAACAAAAATAATGAGTTTGGGCGCCGGGGCATCGCTGGATCGGGCGTGCATCCACGTGGCCACCTGCCAGGGAAGAGCGGGACTGCACCAAAGCAAGCTGCCCAGTGGACTGTGAATGGGAAGACTGGGCCGACTGGACCCTCAGCTGCAAAGACCTAGCACGAGTAAGCCTCTTTAGGGTTAGGCAAATTTGAATCATCGTCTCACATGAATCCAGCAATCTTGTTCCTGGCTTTTTGCCTTTGAAAAGTCGGCCCGCTGCTTGAGCTGCCCCCTGCTCGTACTTTCGAGCCCGAGATCGTGTTTTTGCAGATGTGGTGCAATTGATCATTTTTTGCAGATGTGGTGCAATTACTGTGCAGTACATGCTTTGATGAAGAATCTTTGTCGACCCGATGCACAGGGCCATGAGTGTTTCATTGCTAAAGCAAAATCCCTGCATTCTGGAATTTTGCAACCCCTGGATGGCTGATGCATTCAGACTCAGCATGCACGGAGCAGCTGCTGATGTCTTCTGATTTTGATGCTAGGATATTTAGATTGATTGGTCCATCCGCAGAAGGATCTGTCGAAGAAGTCCTACAACCCAGCTCGAACGTAGGTGCCGGTTGAACACCGGCGTGGGGCCTTTCACTGGATCAATCTGCAGCAGCCCGCATCGCTTCCTCAACCATGTTGAAGTTATGTGCTTCAAGGCAGCACCCGAAACATCACTAAACCCTGAAGGATCCTGTGACATCCTAAAGCCCAAACTCCATGATCCTCAATTTAGCCTACAGCCGGCGCCAGGACGGAGTGCTCCAAAAGTTGTGGGGACGCCGAGCGCTTCGCGGAACGAGGCAGCCGCGCTGCCGAGCCGCTTGGCTCGCAGATCCCGTGTTGAAACCTTGGGGGTTTTGGTTCAGATTCAGGGCCGAGGACTGGTAGGGTTTCAGGGTTGAGCGAGGCTTCTCACGGCGAAAGCTGTGATTCTACTTGCCGTTGTCTTTGCAGCGCAGTTTTGGCATGGCAAAGCTTGGGATCTGCTTGTGGGTCGGGCTAGTGGAGGAGGATTTCTTGATTCTGAGTGCGGAGCTTAGCTGCAATTACTTGGAGGTTCGGCGGGCGCCTGTGTTCTGGTTCCTCGCAGAAAACGGAGGCAGGTCCGGACAAAATGCTGTTGTGGAGCTTCATTTCTTTGGCTGCATCTCGCAGTACTGGTGCAGCCCTGCTACAGGCTTGTCACTTAGATGACTGCCCCGTGGATTGCGCCTGGGGCTGCAGAAAGTAGGCAGGCGCCCTCCGATCTCATACTTGATGATGGAGACGATGATGAAGTGAGTCGCATGTCCAGTGATAGACACTTGACGCTCTCTTGTTTCACAGCGAAGGTAAGTGGAGCGATTGGTCGGACTGGGGCGGCTGCTCAAAGACATGCAATGGGGGGAAGGACCGAGCTGGGTCTGCGAGAGATCAGGTCGCTTTGGGCACAACGCCAAGCAATGACAACAGACTACAATCCGGCCGTAAAGCAAACATCAGTGCGAATTCACTTCCAATCAACATTGATTAGGAGTGAATGCAGCAGGGCTGGTAAGGACTAGCCTAGAGAATGGCAGCAACGATCTTCGTTGGAGGAACAGTGGCAGCAGTAGCAGCGGCATTGGCAGAAGCAGCAAGAACTGTTGGGCAACAGTGCTAGAAGGAAGGTTGCCAGTGCCTGTCACCGTGCGAGGGCTGAGTCATCTTCTACTGGGTCGCGTCTTGCTCTTCATTCTCCCGCCCCTACGACAACGCTTGTGATTGGGCTCCAGCACCAGCACCAGCACCAGCACCAGCACCAGCACCAGCACCAGCACCAGCACCAGCACCAGCACCAGCACCAGCACCAGCACCAGCACCAGCACTAGCACCAGCACCAGCACCAGCACCAGCACCAGCACCAGCACCAGCAAGAGCACCAGCACCAGCACCAGCACCAGTACCACGACCACCACTGCCACTACCACTACTACACTACCATTGCCCATACCAGTCGGACACGTGTGTTTGCTTTTCGATCCTGCGTGTGTGTGTGTGTGTCACATGTGGTTGGCAACATCACCTCAATGGTGTTTGATGACGTGTGCAGTTATTTGACATGACCCGGCAGCACCACTCCAATTCAATTTGACACCTGTCTTTGTTTGCCTCACCCCAATGGTGCTTGACACGTGCGGAAACATCACCCCAATCTCGCACGACCGGCATCATCATACCAATCTTGCTTGACATGTGTGGTTGTTTGGCGCAGGGCGTCAACGACACCCCAATCCTGCTTGACACGTGTGGTTATAGTTTTGTTTGGTACGTGTGGTTGGGTGGCTCAAGCAACATCAACTCATTCCTGTCTGACATACGTGGTTGTTTCACGTATAAGCCGGGGATCTCATCCAGTCTTTTTGACATGGGCGGCTGTTTGGCGGGGTTCCTTAATATGACGCCAGTTCCGATTGACCTGATATGTTGGTGTGGCCTGCCAAATTCGCCCCGATGCTGTTTGCCATGTGTGGTGGCTTGTTGCATGCGGACAACATCACCTCAACCGTTTTGTTATTTGCTCTGTTGTTTGGTGCAAGTTTGACATGTGGAGTTGCTTGGCGTTGGCCGACAACATTCCTCCCTTCTCTGTCACTGCACTCCTATGTAGAGTCACACACGGCTTACAAACAAAAGTGCATGTCGCAGGAGAGCAGATCGAGGGAGAGCACGCCTGGCAACTCCCAGGGAAAGCCATGCACTGGAGCTACCCGTCCATAGGGTTGTCAAAACGCAGGGTTTGGCACTTCAAGTTTCGGGTGTAGTTGATCTGCCCTGAGTTTCCCAAAGTCTCTTCGTTGTTGTTATTGTTTCCATGTGCTGCGACACCGTTCCCGGCTCCAAGGAGGCGCTCAACACCAGGACTTGTGGCGAGAACATTTGTCCCACCGCACCTTGCCTAACAGGAAGCCCACTTGGCAAGGCATGTGACAAAAAAGAGATGTCTGTCAGAAGTATCCAAGGACTGCGTGGTTGGCGACTGGCTAGCTTGGGAGCCCTGCAGCGTGTCCTGCGGCAGCGGCACTGCAGAGCGGAAGCGCAGCATCAAGCAGCAGCCGGCCCGCGGGGAAGTGCGATTTCTTGCTGAACTTTGAAAGGGGACCTGTTGGCGAACTGGTCATTCATGTACGCTCGTACATACATGCATGCATGTATGCATGCATGCATTCACACACACGCACATACACGCATGCATGCGTGCTTATTTTCATGCATACAGACATACACGTGCACAGGCACGTCCATAAACGTACATACACGTACAGACACATACATTTACATACATACACACATGTGCATACACCTGCATGCATACGAATGCATATTAATACGCCTTACCATAGCTCGTCCCAGCTTGTGATGTCGGAAGGCTCGGAAAGGCTTGAGAGAGGCCTCCTGGAAGACTCCCACCCATGCCATCCACCAAGCATACAGGAGTCGTGCACACCTGGCTTTGCCAGTTTCGTGAGCAGGCCTATGGCGGGGAGGACTGTCCTGCCTCGGTGGAGTCCAAACCCTGCAGCCCAGAGGAGATTTGCATCCTGCATGCAATGTGGAGCCAAAGCACCGAAGCTTTCGTGAGCCCGGCACCTCTAGGCTTTCCCCTCAGATCCACCGAACCAATGCATTTTCTGGCACTTCAGCTGAGATAAATGATGAACTTAAGCGGCTGCAACGACTCATGCTCGGCGACGTTCAACTGTAGCCAACCCATGTGACAAGCCGTGACGGGAATATATATATGTGAAGCACTCGCTCAGAAGGTCCGTATGATTGAGCACTCTGGCCCCAAGCCAACAAGCATCCACGGCTTTGACTGTCGCATCTGCCCAAGGCGCTGTCGACTGCGTCTGGAGTGAGTGGAGCGAGTGGCAGGCCTGCTCTGCATCCTGTGGTCACGCGACATCGCGGCACACTCGACCCTTAGAGCGCACTTTAGAACATCCATGCAGCTTAGTCGAACGCGCTTTGGCAACACCGGCCGAAGGTGCCAGAAATGCGAAGCTCCCAAACATATGCTCTCTCAGGAACGGTCGTTGTGGAAGCCAACGAAGCGGGCAAGCCCTGTACCGGAAAGGACCAGGAGGAGATCACATGTAGCTCCCTGATCGAACAGCAGCCAATCTGCCATCTGTGGAAGCTTGTGGACAACCGAGGCTTCTTGGAGTGCCCCGTGGATTGCGCACTGGCCGAGTGGTCTGACTGGTCAGACTGCAGTGTCTCTTGCGGACCAGGCGCAGTCCTCATAGCCCAGCCGAGCCGTTTGAACGCTCCAACCTTGGTTTCACTTCGTAGCCGAAGCCCGGAAGCCGCGTGCCAGGGATCATGGAGAGGACTCGTGCCGTGGATGCAGCTGCGCAGCACGGTGGGAAGGAATGCAGCGCTCAGGACTCCTCGTTTTGCGAGGCTCTAGGGCAGGCAGCCGCCTCACTGTTGGAGCGAAGAGTAGAGAAATGTTGACGGCAATTTGCAGCGCCGACTCTGCTCCGTCAAGGCTTTACTAGCGGCCACCAAAGGTTTCAAAGCTGGCCGACCATCACCTGAAAGTGTTGTCAGGACCTGCTCTATGAGAAGAAGCCGCCTGACGGAACCAATCAAGATTGTTGCGAGTGCTGACACGCAAGTCGATGGATGCATTTCCTCTTGTTGAAATGCTGTTTCGCAACAGTCCAGGTACTGCAGCCTTCCCACATGCCCTGTTGATTGCGAGTGGGTCGACTGGTTGGCTGGGCCCTCAGCCATGAATCTCAGCTGATGCATGCGCCGTCTGCTTGACAGTACTGCATGAGAGTCCGTCGAGGAGGACAGGGTGCCTTACTGCACTGTCCCTGTCGATTGTCGGAGATCTGATAGTGGCACTTTCTGAACGTGCCACTCTCGGAACGAAATGCTTCTCAAGGACTGGAGCAGTTGCTCGACCAGCTGCGGGGACGGCCACTCCTCGCGCACACGCATGGCAGTGGCCTCAAAGACGAGCCTGCAAGTGGCCTGTTCTACTAAATACATCTAATTACTACTGCTAGATACTCATACCCATTTTTTCGTATGCCAAGGTCAAGACAGAGAAGATGTACGGTGGCAAGGCCATTTTTGCGTGTGCTTTTCAATCTGTCTCTGTGATTTCGTCTCTGGCTAGAAAGCTACCCAGCCACGAGACTCATTCATCGTGGCAAAACAAGGATTGTGTTGGCGAGACAGCACAAGATCGCGATTGTGACAACGTGCCGAGCCAAGAGCAGCGAAGTGTGTTGTAGCGCAGGGTCCAGCAGTTTCCTGCCAGCCGAGTAGCATCCAAGGCTTGCATTTTTGTGCAGTGTGTTGCACTAGCTTACAGTCTCTTGAGGCGGCCTGTCCAGTCGACTGCGTGCTCGGCACTGAGTCACATCCCACTGGGCCGCTCTTTGGCAGAAGAAGACGCAACAAGGTACGGAGACTGGACGGCCTGGAAGCAGTGCAGCACTACTTGTGGCACAGGTCCCCGCAATCAGCTCTCGCTTGGGCTTGGGGCTATCACTCATACAAACATGAATAACATCACAAATCCGGGACGCAGTGTCGCCTCTGCTTAGTCGTCTGTCATGCCGCCCTCCATCGAAATATTGCCAGGTGCGCAGCACAGAAGCCGCGAGGTGCAGTCACCTGCAGAGAATGGTGGCCTGCCCTGTCAAGGCCGGTCTCTCAGGAGGTCAATTGCCAAGAAAGGCATCGCAAGCCAGCGAGTGTTAGGACACTGCTATGATCCAAACAAGGATCCAGGATCCGAGCTAATCCGGCTGCCCAACATGCCATGCTGCATTTTGCTGTCTTGGGTTCCGGTTCTGAAGCGAGGCTCAACAGATGACACGCAAGATTGCACAGAACGGCCCTGCCCGGTGGATTGCCAATGGAAGGACGCGGACAGTTGCACCCATCCATGCAGCACCGCGTAGCTATTTGATGAAGTGATTCGAATCGTCATATCCTTGCTTGACACCCAGGACCCTGCTGTAAGCTCAGCTGAAACTCTACACCCTCACCCCACACAGAACTTGGCCAGGATTGGCAAGATTGGGAGCCATGCACAAGCTCGTGTGGAACAGGCGAGAGTATTTGGACAAACGAGCGCATGAGCATGTCAGTGAGAGTGATAGTCTGACAGTCGTTGTCTGCATACCAGTTTTGACAATAGCAGGAGAAGGAGTGGCTGCGGTTGTGGTGGTGATGGTAGAAGCAGTAGAAGTACTCGTTGTCGTCGTCGTACTCATGGTCGTAGTTGTCGCGGTGGACTAGTGCTAGAGCTAGTACTAGTGCACTGTGCCGGGAATCTTGAACAACTATTTTGTGGAGCAATCTTGGTAATCTTGGCAATCTTTTTGCCAAAGCAAGATTGCCGGCAATCTTGCTCCCCCCACGTGGCGCAGGGGCAAGTGGGGGAAGGGGCAAGATTATGGCAATTTTGCAAAATTAACAATTGTTCTAATTTCGCGGCACATAGTGCTAGTACTGGTGCCAGTGCTCGTGCTAGTGCTATCGGGCTAGTAATAGCAGTAGCAGCAGCAGAAGCAGCAGCAGTGGTAGTAGTAGCAGCAGTAGTAGTAGTGGTGGTGGTGGTGGTGGTGGTGGTAGTAGTAGTAGAGTAGTGGTGGTAGTAGTAGTAGTAGTAGTAGTAGCAGCAGCAGTAGGAGTAGGAGTAGCAGTAGCAGTAGCAGTAGTAGCAGCAGTAGCAGTAGTAGCAGTAGAAGTAGTAGTAGCAGTAGCAGCAGTAGGAGGAGGAGGAGGAGGAGTAGTAGTAGTAGTAGTAGGAGTAGTAGGAGTAGTAGTAGGAGTATGCACTGAAAGTGACTCACTTTGGGGTTTTGGGCCGTACACCCGTTATACACTATTTGGGTTTCGTGATCTTGGGAACCATTCAATGATGTCTTCTTTCTTGGGGTTTGTGGCAACCCGCGCTCCACCGTTCGGACGTGGGGTGTAGGGTTCTCGCAACCACGTTCTCAGCTGTTTTTCGGAACCAGCCTCGCCTTCCAGGGCTTGTGCTGCTGTTGGAACTAGTGTCCCCTTCTAGGAATCCGGCCACTAAGGCCTTTGCGGAGTTTGGCGAACGAGTCACGTTTTTTGAGGGTTTAGGTTTTTTTCGAAAGAGTTGCTCCCTTAGCGGCAACCTTTTGACTACGATGCTGATGACAAAGACCATGATGCAATGATGATGGTGACGGTGACTGAAGTTGAGCCCTTTGCTGGAAGGAGTTCACAAGCGAACGCGTCAGAAGACCGACGCGCAGAACGGCGGTCTGGAAACTTGAGCATGCACGACGCACTATCTCAATGCACTCACTGACTCTCCACCAGCTGATGCCCGTTGCTTTCAGCAGGCCGACAGCTAGTCTCATGTGGTTTTGCAGAGAAGTCGCCCCAGGAATGCGAGGGCGATGACTCTCAAAGCATAGACTGTCCAACGCAGCTCGGAGCAACTATGGGGTAGAGCAGCCTTTGCGGCTTTTGTGCGGTTCAAGCCGAACCGTGATGGATCCTAAGGCTTCCAGACTGTCCCGTGGATTGCCTTTGGGAGGCTGCTTGACCCAAGATACAGGCTTTGTCAGGCGTGGCTCAGAATGATGCAGACAAATCCGGGCAGTTTCAGACGTCAACTGCTTCAACTGTCTATGACATCAGTTGGTGCTGACCTTGTGCCAACGGGTCGTGAGCGGGCGAAGGACTGGACCGCCTGGAGCGCATGCACTGCATCCTGTGGGCTGGGTGTGGTGACGAGGACCAGTGCTGTGGGTGCACATGCTCCATGACTTTCTCAGGTGTGACAGTGTTCTCTGCAAGTTCTTTGCCCCGCAAAGCCTTCGGCATGTGCATTAGGAGCCGCAAGCGAGCGCACTACGAGTCGCACGGTGGCCACGTTTGCTTTGGCACTGAGGAGAGGTAGTGGGGAACAGCACTGACGGTGTGCATGCTGACTTGCAGACATTTGTAGACTCGTTGCTGGTCGCATCACTCCACGCAGCCTGGCATGTCCGATGTACAAGTACTTGAGACGTTCTTCGTTGCGACTCTCTACAGAAAGTGCAAAAACGATACAGCTACAAGGACGACGAGGCACCTTGCGATTTGCCGCCGTGCCCCATGGACTGCTTCCTGGAGGAGCCAAGCACACATGGTTCTGAGATCTCAACCAATGTAAGGCTTTGATCCTCGATCGCGCGTGGAATGATGTCTGCAGTCGAGCTACCCGTTCTGTATACTTATTGCGGAAAGAGGGAAGGAAAACTCACACACCGGTGCTGGGATAATTAATTCAACTCGCGGTGCACCAGAAGCCGACAGGACTGGGCGCCCTGGTCCGAATGTGGCTCGGGTGAAGTTTTTGTGACACTGTCTCTTTAAATCCCAAGATAATGATGGACTGATCTGGAAGTTTATGACAGCGACAATCCCATGCCGGCATCATGTCTTACCCCGTTGAGTTGTACGAGAAAAGGCATGCTAGTCGAGAGGGTACGTAATGTTGGCAAGCACAGAAGAAGGAAGCCACGCAGGAGAGGGTAAGGGGGGGAGGCAGAGGGCAGTGAGGGCAAGAGCCAGTGGCCTTAAGGAGTCGGAGCACGGAGTCAAGACATTTCTCTGGCTCGGTAATTAAGCGCAGCACGACCTTTCTTCGGGAGGGGGTTGAAGGTTTAGGGTCTCGCTGTTTGCCTTAAACAGCGCTGCGGAGTCACAGCTGATGTTTCTCCCCCAGACATCTCATGAACAAGCAGTCCAGGCTCGACCTCTTGTGGCAACGGCACTCACATCAGAGACTCGGCTTCCTCGCAAGAGGTAAACACGAATGTGATCCGCTACCAGGAACTAGACAACATCCCAGCTATAGTAGAAGTTAACGATACAGGTTCAGATAGTGGCTCATAGTTTGGTATGGATTAGGTCAGCTACGATACTCCGAGCAGGACCAAGCACAACCGCTGTCTGCAGGCCTCCCAGGCTGCTAACGCCTCATCTTTCCGGGTCACGTGCTCCCAGGAAGCCGCAGCGTCACCTTCGCAGCCAACGGTGGCAAGGACCAGGGTCTTTGTTGCCTTTCCCTCTGCCGTCTTAGACGGTCTTCCTGTTGTCTCAGCCAACGTGTACAACTGCCAAAAGAACTTTGCCCTTCTGACCAAAGCATACCCAGTAGGTTTTTATCTTGTACGCAAGTGGCATGTGTTGCAATGACAGACACTCCTTCGCCCTTTTGGCTCGCGGCCTTTCATGGTAGGGTGCAGTGTTCCAGCACCCATTGTCGTCTGACTGCACTGGTCATGTGAAGCGAGTGGAGCTTCACTCTGTTCCTGCAGCCGTGCCGTTGTGCTTCAGCCTTTGGAGTTTCTGCACTGCCTGCGAAAGCATCCAAGGTCTTCTATCTGGATGGGCTGCACAGCCCAACGCCCGACCCTCGGAGCCTTGAGTCTGGAGACCTTTTGAGCCATGTAAGAAGTTCCTGAATGCCTCCGGCAGGCTTCAGCTACGACCTGCAGCATTGAAGCCTCTAGTAGTCCTAACCTAAGCCCCGTGTGACATGAGAGGAGCAACAGTGTCGTACTTCCATTACAGACTCTTTGCATAAGAGATGTGTACACACATATATTTGATGAATGAGTTCACAGGAAGGAGGCGAGCTGGAACGTGTCTTCAGGGGCCGAGGCGAACATGTTTACATGTATGTATATATACATATATATATATATATATTTATTTACATATTAGTTATTGTTATATTTTGTACACACACACATATAGTGTGTGATAGTGTGTTTATATACATACAAGCGTGTGTACATGCATATACCACGAAGCAAGATGAAATCGACATCACTGATGACCGAGCCACCTTTGGACAACAGGCTGCAAACTGCAACAGTGCAGGTGGCCTACCAAACATGAAGTTCCGAAGTCAAACCAGGCGACTGGTAAGGTCCCCCGAAATGTGCTGATAAATACACTCAAAAAGTTTGGCGTGATGGTGTTAAGATGACAGCTCTTCCGACATTTATCTGGCAAGACGGCTTGGCGTTGCATATAGGATTGTATGAAGTAGTGAAGTAATGGACCGATGTTAAGTTAATGGCAAAAGACTGCAAAACACATGGAACAATATTGGAAAGGATAGCGAGTAAAGAGGTGGAAACTCATTAGAAGTGTCTCTGTGTAAAGGCCATAACGACAGCTGATTAGACATAGCCACTACTCACCCAGACATAAAATCGGCTCCAAAAGACTAGGAATCACGGAAGAATCAAAGTCTTCAACCAACAATATGGTTTATTCAAACTATGTGCTTGATGATTGATCTGCGGATCTTTGTTGTTCTTGTGAGTTTTTGTTTCGGCTGAGTGTGTCTTCGAAAGGCAGGAACCGCCGGCGGCAGCAGGGTTTTAGCAGGGGGTGGGGGGGGCGGGGTGACCATATCTATGCAAAGTAAAAAATATTAGTATATAATAAGATGGTATAATATAATATAATCTAACAGAATATGATAAAATATAACATAATATGATATAATATGATATTATATGATATAATACACTATAATACAATATACTATGACATAGTATAAGATAATATAGTATAATAATAATATAAGATGACATGATGAAATGTCACATTTTATGATACAATACAACTTAACACAATATAATACAAAAGAATGAAATATAATAATATATATGCACATATATATATATATGTAGATATATGTGTATAAACATGCAGGTATATATAACTATGTATATAGGCATGCAAGTGTTATATATATATATATATACATATGCGAACAGACTTCGATGCCTCT